TTAAACTGACAGTGATATTTTTAGGGTTTATATTCTCGAAAATGTGATCACAGTTGAGATGTATTGCAAGTCAAAATAAGATGTCATTCTCTTCTGACAAGCAAGCAGCTTTCTTGCTGAAAAAAAAAACACTGGGACGGCAGTGAATAATACATTATATCATGAACAAGATGAATGATTATCAATGCAGGAATCCCAAGTCACTCAGAATGTTAACTATTTTTGACACGGTTATCCACACATCATTTTTTAAAATGATATCCCTGTATGTGGGCAGAGATAAATCATTTACAAAGTGAAATCACTCACAGTAACACAAATGTCTTCTTTAGGAATGATATTCGACAACAGTATCTCACAGGAGACACTTTGGATCTGTACTTATTTGCATAGTTACTTTTTGCTCAACTGTCACTCATGTTACCTTCCCTGAAAACTTCCATTTGCTTTTTCACAGGAAGTTGAATTAAGTTTGTCTTAATCTTTAGTGCCTGATCTTTTTCTGTGTACAGCTTCCTGTGGCACGTTCCATTGACTTACATTACCAGTGGCTCAACGACAGTGCACCGCTTCCTGCTTAAGACCAAAACAGGTATTTGTTGGAAAACCATTATTTGACAATATTATTCATTTTAGTAATGTTATATATTGTTTCAAAATAGTGTAATTTTATTTTTGGAAGTTTTTGAAATATCTTCATGTCTCTAAACAACACAAGCACTGAAGTATATGTGTGACAGTTAAAACACTGTACACTCTTAAAAATAAAGGTTCTTTATTGGCATCTATGGTTCATTCATGTAACCTTTCCTTTGCACAAAAGGTTGTTTATAGTGGAAAAAAAGTTCTTCAGATTATTAAAAAGTTGTTCACACCAAGAAAAAAAAAACGGTTCTTCACTTTAGGTACTTTGGGGAATCCAGAATGGTTCTTGAATGGGATCACTGTGAGAAAAACCCTTTTGGAGGATTTATTTTTACGAGTATAGCACTGAATTCTGACAGATTGTTGTATATGTCGTCATAGACGTGCTGTATCTGCCGGAGGAAGTGGACTGGATCAAGTTTAATGTGGACATGAGTGGATATTACATTGTGCACTATGAGGGCTCTGGCTGGGATGACCTCATCAGGCTGCTCAAACATAATCACACAGCGCTCAGCAGCAACGACCGGGCCAGCCTCATCAACAACGCCTTCCAGCTGGTCAGGTCAGTCCTCCTCATCTATATCATATCCATATCAAGAGTCAAACAACTAGATCAAAAGTACTGTACAAAAGTGTTGGCAATTTATCATGCCCTGGTTGATTTACACACCTTGTGTTTTGGACAGTGTTGGTCAGCTTCCTCTGGATAAGGCTTTAGACCTGACCCTGTATTTAAGCGAAGAAACTGAGATTATGCCAGTGACACAGGGCTTCAGTGAGCTTGTGCCTCTGTACAAACTTATGGAGAAAAGAGACATGGTGGAGCTGGAGAACCAGATGAAGGTCAGTGTGCGGTCATTTATATTCGATCTTCAGACTTGTAAATTCATTCATTTATGTGTCAGGCTTCTAATCCTCAGCAATTCTCAGAATAATTTATAATTCATTTGACATTTCCTGATTCATATAATTAAAGCGATAGTTCACCCAAAAATTAAAATTCTATCATCATTTCTCACTTTTAAATTGTTCCAAACCTGTATGAGTTTCTTTCTTCTGTTGAACTCAAAGATACTATGTAAGTCAATGGGGTCCCATCATCTGTTACTGACATTCTTTAAAATATCTATTTCTGAACTATATCATTTTAGTACAATCTCAGTGCTGTCGTATCGAAAGTTTAGAGGTCGGAAAGATGTTTTAATGACACATTTCTTATATTTCTTATTGTGATCAACACTGAAAACAGTTGTGCTGCTTAATATGTTTTTATGGAAACTGAAAGGTTCATGGAAAATCTGGAAAAATGGTGGTTTCAGGCCTTAAATAGTCCTGGAAGATCAAAAATGTGATAGAATTTCTGTTGTAGATACATATATTTTTAGTTATGCTAAGCTGTAAAAGATTTAAATGGCTAGGAATTGCTCTTTGTGAGTACCAATCTGATAATGTGATTTTTTAAAAATCCAGTAATCATGAACCACTATAATGTTTTTTTTTTTTGCTTGTTTTTTTTTTTTTTGCTTGTTTTTTTTATCATGCTTAAAGGGATACTCCACATTTTTTTTTTTGAAAATAGGCTCATTTTACAACTCCCCCAGAGTTAAACAGTCGTGTTTTACCGTTTTCGAATCCATTCAGCCGATTTTCTGATATTTAGAAGAACGTCAGTAACCAGACAGTTTCTGGTCTCATTGACTCCCATAGTATATTTTTTCATACTATGGAAGTCAATGAGACCAGAAACTATCTGGTTACTGATATTCTTCTAAATATCAGAAAATCTGCAGAATGGATTCGAAAACGGTAAAACCAGACTGTTTAACTCTTTGGGAGTGGTGAAATGAGCCTATTTCCAAAAAAAGTGGAGTATCCCTTTAAGTAAAGCACTTTAAATTAGCATTGGGTTTGAAATGAGTAATAAAAATGAACTCTCCATGCTATAACAGATGTTGGTTCTGTCTCTGTGGTCTAGGGCTACATACTGCAGCTGTTCACGAAGCTCATAGACCGGCAGTCGTGGACTGATGACGGCTCTGTGTCTCAGAGGATGATGCGGAGCTACCTCCTCCTGTTCGGCTGTGTGCGGGGTCATCCTCCCTGTGTTAGCACTGCCACACAGCTCTTCAACAAGTGGAGGGCCTCAGATGGGAACATGAGGTCAGAGGTCATTTTTGTCTTTCCCCTTTTGAAACATGTTACACTCTTACCATTAAGAAGATTAAAGGCACAATATGTATGTTTTTTTTTTCGCCACAAGAGGGCGCAGTTTCCAACAATAACAAAGACCTAGGTTGATGATGCAGTGATGAGCTGAATGATGGGACTTGCTGTCAAGCAAATGGATCGAATATTGTTTATGGATGAGGGCAAACATTCATGTTTTTAACATTACAGTGGTATGAAGCAGGTCGTTATTGCTAAAGAGACACATATCACACACGAGTCCCGCGGATATAAATGAATAAGGACATATAATTCTACCGAATTACCCGCAATTGCTGGATTATTAACACAGGTCAGTTTATTAGACGAATTAAACTTGTGAGGTAACGCAGCACTGCTTCACTTGGTCTAACCTTACACTATCACACTAAACGGCATTTACATGTGTGTTGAAAGTTATAATGTTATACTGTGTGTTATAAGCTGATCAGCATTAGAATAATAAACTGACCATATTCTAACATTTGATCATGTTGAGCTAACGGTAAATAACATTGATTTGTTTTATACATTTGCTCACCTGTCTAATAAAGCTGTCAAGTCGTGACTCGTGAAGCTCTGTCAAGTTCGAGTTAGTCGCAGACGTGGAGCTCTCGGGATTTCAAAAACGTCACGCTGATATTGATCCTCATTTTATTTCTTCTTGTTTGTCCCAAAGTCTGCTTGTCATGGTCTATGTTTGAAAGAAACTGCGTGCCGCTTAACGTTACGCAGTCTGCGTCTGTCGCCATGGTTACATCATGGCTATGGCACCATGAACGGATACTGAGGATAGCGCGGATATTGCGTCATTGACAGGCGACATTTCTTTTCCGGGAAAATTTTTTGGGGGAATTTCTCTGAAATAAAAAATCTTTGGTGACTTTTGGGATATTGTAAGTACACAACTGCAGGAAATATATCACAATGTGCAAATTATTTTTGGAGATTTTATTACAAAATTCTTACCTATTGTACCTTAAGACAACTTTGGACATTTGATTATTTTGTCCATCCTCTAGTCTTCCCAATGATGTTACTATGGCTGTGTTTTCTGTTGGCGCCCGGACTGAGGATGGCTGGGACTTCCTGTTTGAGAAGTACAAGGAGTCCATGTACGTCTCGATCAAGAGCAGGATCAAGTCGGCCCTCACAACCAGCCCTCTTGATCACAAGTTAAAATGGTAAGGCATTTATACACATCAGCTTAAGAAAAAGAGTACAAATCACTAATGTCATCTTTTTCTTTCTGTCAGGATGATGGAGCAGAGTCTGATTGGAGAGGTGATGAAGACTCAGGATCTGCCTTATGTTGTAACTTCAGTCAGTAAAAATCCTAAGGCCTATAAACATGCATGGGACTTTTTACAAGCTAACTGGGACTCCCTGATTAAGAAGTGAGACACACACTGGTGGTAAATATTCCACTATGTAATAGTGATATATAGCCCTTTCATGACTTCAAACATTTGTTTACAGGTTTGATCTCGGCTCACACTCCATAGCACACATGGTAGTTGGAGTGACCAACCAGTATTCCACCAGAGAAATGCTAGCTGAGGTTGGTATTACTCTTTATTGAACCCAAAAAGTAATTAGGAGCTTTCATCAGTTTGTGATCAGAAAACTATTGTATGACATAAGAGTGTTTCTCTACTCCGTCAGGTTCGTAGTTTCTTCAGTTCCTTGTGGGCTGAAACTGGAGCAGAACTGAGATGTATTCAGCAGGCCCTGGAGAACATAGAAGAGAACATTCGCTGGATGGACAAGAACCTGCCACTACTGAAGGCCTGGCTACACAGGTACTATGACCAGCACAAGAATACAGAATTGTGAAGCACTTGTACTGTAAATGTCTTGGGTGTATACATTTTTTTTTGTTAGGATGTAAGAATTTTGATAAGCACTTTGGTGTGCTAAAGTGTGTGATTCTGAATTAGCTGTAGCCTACCATTTCTTATAAAGGTATAATTTAAGATTTTTGTCAGTCCCCAACCTGTAGTATTAGAATTAAAAGCAGATTGAATTACCTTTGTGGACTAAAAATGTGCATAACTGTAATGAAAGCAAGGGATCAGGTTTTGAAAGAAAGACTAGCTGTGTTACAAGTGTGATCTGAATGTACAACCTATAAAAAAAAAACTGTAAATGTTTGAAAAGTTTAATTAGTTTAAACAGATAGTCTAAACTGGTCCTGTACAGGTTTGCTCATAAATTAATGAGCACAGGCAAGTACATTAGCAAGGCATATAAGGTACAAAATAAACAAACAGCTGTCATGTTAAGTCCATTACAAATACAAAATAGGATACTGGAAAACAGCACGTTCTCAGTTGTTTCATTTGGTCCAGTGAGACTCTTTTCCCCATAGGGGGCGCCCTGATATACGGTTACAGCTTGGTGCATTTAAACAGAAAACCAAAGTAACATGATGCTAAAGAACTAACAATTGTTGGCTTACATTAAAACTGACAATCAGTGAGAGTCTATTTCTGTGGCTGATGGCTTCCTTCATCTCTCAGTTTCTATTTGTACTAAGTAAACACAGAGTTGTCTTGTAGTCAGGCCGTCTTACATCAGGACCTCCCATCAGTCTGCATGCAGCCGGGACAGGAGTGCAGTGTGTCATGTATGAAGAGATCACACTCCACACAGAACACTTTTTTACATGCTAGACAAGTAAACACCTGCAGGGAGGAGAAAACAATCAGCCAGAATGTTATTTTAATCCCAGACTAAAATGCATGTTTAAGATGTTTTAAACTTGCACTAAATTTTCTTAAAATTGTCCGTGCTACTGTTTTGTCTCAAGAGTCACACAAGTAATGTGTTTTTAAGGCACGTATAAATGAACTAAGGCCTAATCCTGGATTAATCTAAGCCCTGTCTGTGGAACCAGGTCTAAATGTTCACATGCGAAATATTTGAAATGGAAAAACCTACACTTTTGTCCTTCAACTCTCCTTGGCAAGCATCACAGAACCTGAAAAGACAGATTAATGCTTTGAAACAGGCTGAGACGAGACAGAGCGATCACAGTGAGTGCGGAGCTCACCTCTCTCCCTCATACTCCTCCAGTGGGGTCTCCTGGAAGGCCTCCAGGGGGAAGAGGTGGTGGAAAGAACGGGCCAAGTGTGGAGCGGAAACCAAAGTTAGACCTGCACCAGAGAGAAGACAGAGTGAGAACTGAACACATCGATACTCTGAAGATTATTGTAAAGACTGAAGAACGGGGACATGCTGAGACCCACCACACACTTTACACTCCACTGGCAGCTCAGTGTATTTAGCTCGGCACTGTGGGCAGTAGTAGCCGCCGAGACTGAGTACTGGCTCACCAGTGCTGTCTAGGTGCCTAAAATATTACAAAATAAATTAGATTTAAAATTCGATTTTAATATAATTATACATAAAATCTGAAAAATTATACACCAAATCTGCATATTACGACTATTTGTGAAGGAACATGTGACAATTCAGCTTTCCCATCACAGGAATAAATTATTTATTCCAATGTATTGGAATATAAAAATTGTTTTGAATTGTAAAATTGGCCCCTGGGTTCACAGACCAGGCTTAAGTCTAGTCCCAGACTAAAATGCATGTTTGAGCAGATTTAACTGAATACAACTTGTACTGAAATATCTTAAAATAAGTCCCTTTGTTTTCTCTCAAAATTCACACCAGGGATGTATTTTTTTTCTTAGCCACGTTTATAAACGCTACTAAAATGCCCTATTTGAACTAAGGCCTTGTGGAACCAGGCCTTTGTGCTCTCACTGTATTTTTGATCAAATACATGCAGATTTGGTGAGCACAAGAGACATCTTTCCAAAACAAAATAATCTCACCAAGCCAAAACTTTTAAACATTAAATCTAATTTATAGTATACAGTAATATTACTCTATGGTAAATAAATGATAAATAAATGTAACATGATTTTTTTTATTTTATTTTTTAATTACTCACGACATGCTGAATGAGGGTTTGGCATCCTGATCAGACATGGAGGCTATGACATGCTGGGGGAAACCTAAGGAAATTATTGTGTGCGTTAAAGATATTGTAGAAGAATACGAATTATATATTATAGGTTACGCTGATACGTTGCAGTGAAGTCTAATATAAACAAAATAAAATGGCAAATTTCCTTACAGTACTGCATTTGGCAGACGCTTTTATCCAAAGTGACTTGCATTGCATTTCAATGAACACATTTACATTCTTATCAATTCTTGCTTTTCCTGGGAATAGAACCCATGACAATGGCGTTGCAAGGGCCAACGGTCTATTGTTTGAGATACAGGAAAGCTATATTTCAGCAGACCATTCACAAATTTCGACACATTTATTAAGTACTTAGGCTAATTTGATTATGCTTTCAGCAATAAGTTCAACTCAATGTACTGTAAGACATTTCAGCATGTTTAAATATGGTGAAAATGACAGTGATTACCCATGCGAATGAGGGAGCACTCTGAGGAAGAGCTGGCAGGAGGAGGCTTCACATGCTGCATCAGAAGCTCTTTAAAATGACTCTCATCCAGTATCACATTGTATGTTCCTGTTGGGCAAAGCAGAATAAATAAATAAATAAAAACCTAGACAAATGAAACACTGTAACTGCATATAAAAGTAAGACTACCAACCTCCAGTTTCTCTTGTGAGAATAGTACACACTCGAACCTCTGCTGACAGGCCGATCACAGACACTCTGATTTTCAAACCATTCAGAGTCTGTTGATATATTAAAACACCATCAACAAATCTTCTAAACCATTACAGTAAGCAGCCATTAAATTCATTCAAACTCACTTTGATAAGCTCATAGATGTTGGCAGGGTCACAGGTAGTGAGACTGCTGAAAATAACCAGGATCTCTTTGCTTGTATGAGCAGGCATGTGTCTGCATGAAAATAGAGATATATATGATATATTACTGTGGTAAAGGGACATGTAGATGATCAAGGCAATGTGTTTGTTTGTACAACTTTCAAGCATACAGCTGTGGGTACAAATCCAGTACTACAACTAAACTGTAAACAACATATAAGGTATATTGCAAAAAACAGGTAGATAGACACGGCAGGATGTGCATTAATAAATTATAAAAATATAGACAGTGATGATGAAACAGTGCTTTATTCACAAATGTTTTATGTTTTGCATTACACTTTGTTCAAAATGTAAAAATGTATATAATGAGCGAGTACATCATGATTCCATCTTCTAAAGTGTGTTTTTGTCTTATCCTGAATGACTACCTTTAATAAGTGTTTATATTCTTCTGACTATTTTAGACAAGGTGGGACAACAACCGCTGCACAGTAGCTCAGTACCTGCGTGACTCGTCATATACATAAAGAGAAGTAGCTTCGGCTACAATGCTCGTCCACAAGATGCATGTAATGTTTATCCACTGCTATAGTCGAAAATTTGCAACTTTGGATGAAACATAACTACTGAGTTGAACACCCCTCTAACCTCTCTGACATGTTCCTTACTTTAGAGTCAGCATAGCCACGTTGAGAGAGTTGTAGAGCGACGGTTCCCCGACACATGTGGAGTCCACAGCTTTCTTCAGAGCTGCTATATGCTTCTTAGGGTTCCCTAGTAAGAGTAAAATAATTTGAACTGATGATGATGATGATGATAAAAAAGAACACTTCTCAAACCATGCAAGCATAATACTAATGCAGCAACCTGCAAGATCAGTGAGCTTCTCCGCCCTCTTGTTCTTGGTGGCAATGATCCCTATCTGTGACGATACGGTACAGTTAACAGAAGCTGCATACTCTGTGAAAACTCACAGACAGATACACAAGTCAAGTGTCAAGTGCATTACCTGACTGATTGGATTCTGGTCAAAGTATTCCTCGACAAAATACTCCATCAGCTGAAGAATGCAAAAGAGCAATTTTGACAGATTTTATTTAATGTTAACCTTCCATACTTGGCATAGATGCAGTGCTACTAACCTTCAGGGTGGAGGTCAGCCTGTTGGGCTTAAGGTCTTGATCTTCCATTGATCTAGATGAGTCAATGATCACAAAAAGGTGCCGCATCTGGGTTTGGAGGAATTTTATGATGTTTCTGATCAGTAAACAAAGATAAATAAAATAGTGCTATATCTATAGAGGACAGTAAATTGCAGCTTACCATCCCAAGCCGAACTTGTCCATGACTCTCAAACACTCTGCAGTGTGATAGACAGACTGTACGTGAGTATAAAACCAAGAGACAATCAGCTCAAACTGATGATTATATTCTGTATTTGAGTGTTGCACCTTTTTCTCTTTGCCTGGAAAAGAATGTCCTCCACAGTAGCTTTGAGAGATCCAGACTCATCCTCCTTCAGCACCTCCCTGACAGAGACACGCGTCAACTGGTCATTACAGAATATGTGCTCTCATGCACTTTAATAGAGAGCAGTAGCTGACAGTTTTGTGATGCGCCTTAAACATATTAAGCCATAGTTTTTAAAATAAATATTTTTAATTCGCATAAAGCACTTTCAACGTCTCTCACCATGTTCGTTCGTATCCTCCTTCCCAGCGTTTTGTTCTCTCTGGTTCTTCATCCATTCTGTATAATTTTTACAGACTCTCAGCTTTCTTTGGAGGGAATGTTGAAAGAACTATTCTTCCGAAACTCTCTCGTGTTGAATAGGTTTTCAAAATGTACCTTGTAACAACAAATAGAGCGAAAATGTCTCACAACCGGATTTTTGTATTAACGACATTATGTAGCTTGCTTAGTGAACTATAAAAACAACAGTTCATGGTATTGCTTTCCATACCCCCTTGTTGCTTTCGTGCAACCCTTGTACGTCGATTTGTTATGTCCCCCGGTACAAAAATCAAACACTAGTTCCGAGTTGTGGGAGGTCCTACGTGTGCGTGTTCCACATTTAGATCCATTAAACGTAGGTTTGATTGTTATGATTAGCCTTTAGTTGCCCCCTTTAATTAATTTTATAAGCTGAAATAAATACAAAAGACAAAAGACATTTTGAAATTGAATAGCTTTACTTCACCAACACAAATACAACAAAACAAATGTACTGTAAGCTGCATTCAAAATTATTGCCTGTCATTAAAATTGCTCAACAATGAATATATATATATATATATATATATATATATATATATATATATATATATATATTATTGACTGTATATAGTAGTCCATAATAGGCTAATTATATAATTGTAATTGAATTCTCACCCATTCTCTAGGTGTGTTCTTGCAAAACAACAACAGGGAATATTGCTATTCTGGTGACATTAATCAACAAGTTAAAAAAATAAACATTAGTACAAACAACTTGTATTAGAATGTCTTTGCTTGGAGATCCCTAAAACTACAACAAAAAGTGGTAGTCACAGTCTTGCTCATGTTTAAGATGCATTAACCTTGGTTTGACTAAAATTACTACAGCAAAATGATAAAAGGTTAACAGACGACATCTAGCTTTAAAAAAATGTAAATACTTCATAGAAACCACAATATTTTTTATTATCGAGTTTAGTTTGGCTCAAAAGCAAAAACCTGTCTATATAAAACATCAGCCATACATTCTCTTGATAATAATACAATGATACAGATTTTTAATACAGAAATACAGATAAAGTCCCAAAGCAAAACCATCATGTGACATAATGTGCCTTGCTGAGTTTCCAGTGCCAGGTTTTTATTGTCTGTGGTCATAGTCGCTGACCCTTCTTTTGATGAGGGAGAGTTTTCTCTTTAGCAGTTTACACCTTTTCCTTTTCCTCTGATAGTCTTCAGACTGTGAGAAAGGTAACGGTGAACATTTATATTTACACCTATACACTTCTATCACAATTATTGTCTGCAACTTCATTATAAACAATAGTTATTTTAGGATATTCTATAAATATTCTGAAAGTTTATGAAGATTTTACCTTCTTTAAACTTTTGAGCCTGTTGTATTGATCCATGGCATCCTTTTTTAGAGAATAAAATCAGGATTAATATACATTAAATGTAACATGTTTGAATACTACAACTAATGATAATAATACAATAAGAATAATATCAGAATAGATAGAGATCATTTTCAAATTAAGTTTTGTTTTAAAGGTGGAAGAGATACTGTGAAAAATAGAGATTGAATGATATTATACTATAAGACTTTCCACTCATAAACTTAGGCATTTGAATTATTGTGATAGACAGGCAAAGCTCAGCAGATCAAGCTAAATCTGCATAATAAGAGTCAGAAGAATGAAAGAGATCCAAACTTTAAAAGAACTGTTTTCCTTTTTATAGATCACATACCAGGAACTGTGGGCTGCCTTCCTGTAATCTGTCCAGCTCTCGATCTGCATCCGCCAAGCCCTGATTAATATCATCTAGCTCAGCCTGAAGACGCTTATACTCCATGTGATCCCTGTCAAACTCTCTCTTGTACTCAAGCCTCTCCTGCTCATTAATGATGGGAGGATACTCACTAAAGAGCATGACAGCGTGGAATAGAGGTAAGAAGGGAAAATGGGACAAGAGTGATACAGATTACATAGTCACAAATTCATAGTAAAATAAAAAAGAACATGCCCCAATACTACCAACTATAACTTAAAGATTCTCTTACATTTCACAATCCGTCTCTAGCTCATCTCCAGACTCTCCAGTGTCATAGTCTCTCAGTTTGCCCTTCAGCCCACTCAAAGAGCTGGTTAAGTCAGAACCACTACTGGGAAAAAAGATGCGTTCAATAAAAATAATAATATCAATGGAACTTTTGTTAATAACTTTGTTGGTTGCAATGAAAATTGTAACATCACACCAGAGTAAAAAACGTTCACAGTGGAACGGGTTATTCATGTTCATGAAAAACAAAACCCATCAGGTCACATTCATTCAGGGGCAAGATTTCCTGGATTCCTTTGCTCTGTGGCATCTAGTCTAGTGACAGGCTAAACTGACCTAGACCAATTATTGTCTGTGCTGCTCACTTTGCTTATAATTTTACTAAAGCTCACAGATCAGTTTTTTACGGCTCCCTTGTAGTCCTTAAAAAATGATTTCTTTAAAAGCAAATGTCTTCCTTTGCTTAGAACCGAGTGTTGTAACTTTGCAGACGTTGTTTATGCTCAAACAACATTACACACTAACTAGAGTTAGAAAATTTAAATCATAATCAACCACCCCATTTAATAATTAATATCTACAATCATATTCTAAAATAGTCAAGCCCAATCCAGACACAAAAACAATCCATTGAATAAATTCTACAGAAAGACGATAAGTAATGTATTTTCTGCTCTTCACTGAGAGAACATACCTTGGAAGGTAAATTGGTTTCTGGCTGTAAACCATTGGCTGTGCAACACCGATTTTGTCATTGGAGTCACTGACAAAAGCCTCTGGATGTCCAGACACATTATTAACCTGAAGACAAACAAAGGAAGACAGTCATTATCTGGGCATTTTTATAGAAACCGCAAAAACACAGTACAATAAATATTTAAGAAGTATTCAGTTCACCCTTCAGCTGTTTTATATTTAATTTTGTTACAGTTTAGAAACATAGTGTACATTTAATGTGCCATTTTTTATAATATGCCACTCTTGCATAAAAGCCAGCTTGCTTAAAATATTTTCACCCATCATTTGGTAGTCTAACTCATTTGAGTGTTTTGCTGTACGCCTCTTTTACTTCAGCGTCTCTGTTTCCCCAATGCAGTCAGCCTTTTTGTTTGGTAAACAGTCTGGACAAACATTAAAAGGCATGCAGAACCGGTTCCACCACTTCCACAAATACCATCAAGACATAAAGGACGAAACTAACACTGCTCACGCAACAAATTGTGTAAGAACAAAGCCAATGGAGTGACCTAATAACTCTAGAAGGGTCTTTTTAAGCAATTGCCACCTACCAATTCATAGACGTTTGTAACTGTTTTCCATGCATTTCATCATGAAATTTTGGATCATAATCATGCTTTCCATCAAGTGACAGTGCATAAGAGTACACACCCAGAAACTAGATATGAAAAAACCTCTTTGTGTCTTCCTCTGAAAGTTCTCTTCTTGGAAGAGTCCTAAATAGCAATGCTCTAGTGTAGACCAACAATTCTCCTAAAATGGTGGAGCAATTGTAGGCACCACACACAACTCTTGAAAACAAGATAAGAAACATCAAGAAGCATTCTGGGCTATAAACTGTTCAACCCAAGTACTACAAAAAGTATTACATTTTATGACCTTATGAATCCATGCTTTGTACTGAAATTCCCAATTTAAATCACAAACTAAAATGAAGACAACAAGTGAACAAATGAAATTTTCTTACCCATTCCCCAATGCCTTGAGAAGTGAGGCCATCTGTGATGGTCTTCACATCATACCACAGAACGCGGTCCATGCCGTATCTCCTTATCTGCCCTCGGGTCTTCACCGCGAACACAAGTAGGATGATTAACCCAACCACCACCAGAAATCCGAGAACAACGGCAATGGCCTTGTAGAGAAGAGAAAGAAATAAATTGCACCAAAAAATAGATCACAATATAGAGGACAATGTGGCAGATATATTCTATATTTGCACAACCAAAAAAAGCTGACTCTCAACTTGCATTTCTGCACAATAGAAAGGAATTCATTAGTGTCTGATAATAACCAACCTGAACTGAACAAATACTAGATTATGAAGACTGCCCAGGCTCACCTCTTCAGGCTCCACTACACAGTAGTGGTATAAATATTGATTGATGAAGATCCCAGAGGCCTGATCTTGGTTCTTGTATTGTGCACACAGCTGCAATATCTGGCTATACATCATGGATCCAGATGTCTGAGAAGTGGGGTTAATAGCGACAAGGTACACGATGCTAGCGATGAGCATGAGTCCAGCCAGTATGGCACAAATGATTATGGAGGCCAGATAGAATGAGGGAGATTGTGCAGTGTTCTGCCTCGACACCACCAGGATGAAGATGATGAGCACAGTGATGAAGGTGATTGCTGCAATCGCGATGATGAAGCCCTTGCCTGATTTCGGATCCATGTACGTGCCTCCTCCATAGCCTCCGAGACCCCCACTGCTACCTCCCCCTCCATAGCCTCCTCCATATCCACCGCCGTACCCTCCACTGACAGAGCCACCCATCCCAAGACCACCAAGCCCCATGTTGTCTGCATCATAGTCCCATGCAAGTGTGGAGGCCACGCAGGCAAACATAGCCACACACATAATGATTATTATGATGCACAAAATCTTCATCACACCTGGGGGTGACGTCCAGCGGTAAAAGTGAAGCATTTCATCAGGGTGGTAAGAATGGGTGCGACGGGAGGTTCTGTGGTGACTGAAAGGATAAAGCGAAACAACATGGATAAGTAAAAGGGAACATATTAACTGATTGTTTTTGAAAAAAATACAGATCATTCATAATACCATCAGTAAGGAGCCATTGAAGAAAACTTTTCTCTACTGAAAATTGATGATTGACAAACTCTAAAATGCAACTTACTGTCTGTCGCCATATGGGGGAGGGTGACTTGATTTTTTCGGCATGATGTCAGCTTCCTGGACAAACTTCACTGGGTGCCAACAGAAGTTTTCCCTGGACACAGAGGTGATACTGCAAGAAAGCAAGGTAAAATAATTAATGTTAATGTTACATGTCAATACAACTGATACTAGGGGTGAAACGATGCCCTGGTGTCATGATTTGATGCATACCAGTAACTCATGATACAATATTATTGCGATACTCCAAGACATGATAAAAGGTTAACAAAAACTGTTGATTAAAATGCTAAATTTGGTATTACAATGGGGGTGGAAACAAATAGGCTTAGACTTGATGCTGATAACCCAATGCACAGCACAATGGTGACTATTCATGATTCTGAAACTGAAAATACACAATTATTATTGACAAATATACTTGCACTTTCACTGACCAGATACATTTAAAATAATGTAGACATTATCACACAAATTATGATTATCATGATCAGACTTTGTTTCGCTGTAAATCTGGCAGTCCACTTACAGAAAAAAATTGCTGTCTCAAATGTTTTTCCAGTCATATTTAGATCTTTGGAAAAAGTGGTCTGTTTGTTGAAAACATGAATGCCTTTGGCTATGATATCAACACAGATAGCACTTGTCATACTGGTTGTGTGCTTGCGTTGGACTGTGACTTGAGAAAACTCCATGACGCTGTGAAGTCACAATCAAAGCCTGAGTTTACAGAGAAAGTTGATGAGCAGCATCATAGTACCAAGAAAGACTGGCTAAATTGGTTTGGTTTTGTCAACTTGAAATTAATCCTGAGTTTGTTCAACTACCATGTACAAGCCCCTGGTCTCAAGAGAGGTTTTACACATAGCTCCAAGTTGTGAAATGGAAATAGTTTTAGTGTTTCTGAGAAGCTTATTACAGATATACGTTCACCTTCACCTACGCAATCCAAAAAACGCATAAATACAAAATTGTATTTAATTTAATTTGTATTTAACTTTAATTTCATGTTAAAGATGTTGATATAAGACCACTTCACATAATTTCTTTAAATATATATATATAGGAATAAACTTTTTTAAAATTACATTTTGCAATGTAGAAAATAGGTTAATATATTTAAGTGAACTACTGTACTTTTTTTGTAGTGCATACTTTTCATTAAATTTGTCAAAAAACAGCACATCTCTGAGACAAATGTGTTAAAAATGTGTTGACTGTGTTGAGAGGAATAATACTAGTTGAGCAAGTAACAAAATGTGTTGTCTTCATGACACACGGAGGTAAGAATTAACAGAGGGTGTGTTGTTTTTAACACATTAGTTTTAAAGGTGAACAATTATAAACCCAGGCCTAAATTGAGATTATTTATTACATTAATTTCACATCATTAATTCTAATTTAAATATATATATATGGCTGACCAGAGATAAAATGCTATGACCTTTCAATATTCATCTGGACCCACAAAGATTGCACAAAATGGGACAAATTTTGCCATAATTTTTGATAGAGTAAAACATGATTTTACTGTTGAATTGAAAGTCTGTATTTTATGAATTTATTATACTTCCAGTTAATGTGCAGATAAAACCTAAACAGGAGTAGTCGAAAAGAGATAGATGTTTCCAATACTGGATTGATTGATCGAAAGGGTGTAGTGTAGCAACAACACCGAGACTCACTGTATTTTTAATTAATTTACTGAATGTAGGGATTAGTAGCCTAGCAGATTTTTTTTTCCCTCAAATTCTTTAATTTGTATCAAAGAAATGTAAGAATGTTATAATAACGTTTGAGATCTAATGAACAACAATAAATATTCAGTTACAGGCAAAGTTTGTTAAAGAACTCTCTATCGTCAGTAGCCTATCATGCTGTTTGATTGAATGCATATTCGAAGAAAATACCCGAATAATAACACAGTGACGGTTTTGTAACACAATAACACGCAAAAAAAAGGAGAAAACCATGCTTGACAAAGAAAATAAATAGCATGATATTTCTAAAAATGTCTAACGTTACCGCGCAATATGATTGTTGTGCGTATCAGTAAAACACATTTAACAAACCTACAAGTCAGTCACCTGGTGTTATTAAACAAACAAAATAGATAGAGCACATAATTGAATATTATCGAGGAAACTCACCTTCTTCCTTTCGAAAGCAGTAAACGCTGGAAAATATTTGTACCTCTTTGCTTTATTTCTCGGAGCTGAAAGCGCTCAGCCTACTTCAGGAACGCCCGCTGGAACCTACAATCACCTTAACAACAACACATCACTGAAAGCACAGGTGTAGCCACGCCCTGATAGAAGGCTAGCCCGTGTCATTTGCATATTGATTTTCACAACCTATATGGTAGCTTTGTTTTATGTTAGAAAATATGTATAACATAACTAGTTTTTTGGAAAACAAAGATGGTATTTAGGTGTATGAAAATATATATAACATAACTAGTTTTTTGGACAACAAAGATGGTATTTAGGTGTATAATACTTGACAAGACATGCTCATGCTTTATTTCGAGGACCCCGAGCGGGGGCCACAAGGAAGTGCTAGAGGGTCCGTGAAAAAGTTTAGAGAAAAACTGTGTAATAAAATTTACAAATAAATACATACATGCAATTAAAATAAATTGATTACATTGAAATACATTTAAAATCAACATTTACAGTATATAGCCTAATATAAATAAAATGTTAAAATAATGTAACAATAGAAATGTAGGCCATATTTTCCACACGTTTTATTTTGTTATAATTTTGTTTCAAAATAATAACCATATTTATAATAAGTGTCTTTATACAATATACACTATATAAATAAAACTGATCCTATTTGGAGGTTAGGGTGGCGGTAGATAGGTATACCACATTTGTAAAATATATTGCAGTAATTAGGCCTAGTAATAAAATGCTTGACATTTAAGAATCATAACATTCAGGGAGTTCCTGCTTCAAATTGAAAACAAATTGTCTAGTCATCTGCGCAGATTGAAAGTGAAGTACAACACCAGCTGGATTTTTGACTGCCCAAATCATAAACCTGTAAATGCATATACAGTCATCTTTAATTAGAAATAAACAGTTTTTGGTTAACTATCTGCTAATCGTCTCTTGTTAAACATGTGGCTCAAAAGTATAATGTAATTATTGTTTCAATTACCATAAAAAAACATCAAAGCTGCATTTAAAAAAATTATTCAAACACAATTATTCTAGATCATTGTTATTAAATACAATATTCAGTATTTATGAGACGTAAGTGTTGTAAAAAATGTAGAGTAAATGAGCACCTTTTCTTCCTGAAGTCCACTGCAACTTGTAACCTGATACCTTTAGAGGTGTCAAGCATTTATTCCTTTACTGCAGATCTATTTACAGATAAGGCTTTGAGCTACGTTGTCTACCATAAACAGACAATTAGAGGTGGTTTTTTACCCTGTGTATAAACTACTAGTTTATTATTTTGTCAAAAAGGGAACCTTTGCCATTGCAATGTGGAGGCAGGCATATTTATTTGTATCTACTTTCACAATCAGTTTAAAAGGCTGATACACATAAGATAATACAAAATGTACACAAAACACACACATGTCTGTATAAAATACACAAAAGTGAAACTATTAATAAACTAAAAAAAAAAAACTAATAAAAACTAATAAATATACCAAGAAATTCAAGATCAGAGATATTGATATTCAACAATTACCACTTTAAGGGCTATTTACATTATATTCTCCAATGAACCTGCAGGAAGATTCCTACTTCTAAAATATATATATATATATATATATATATATATATATATATATATATATATATGATTGCAATTTAAATGTTGCTCCACATGACGTCAGTAACTTAGTAACTTGCATTCGGTTGATTCATGTAACTTCTTCATTGCTGTGCTTTAAGTTGTAGATGTCCTCCAGTATGCTCCTTTGCTCTATTGAATTCAATATGAAATTATTTTAATACCAACCGAGACCAAGCCAAACACTAAATTCCTGAAGAAATAGTCATTTTTGTTTCTGCCAGTCACTTCTTTTCTGAGGAGGACCTCTATAAAGTTCATGATAAACTTTGAAAATATATTGGAGTTCTGTTTAGCTGTAACCATCATTCCAGTCCATAACTTTGTCATACTCCTGAATTTTCTGCTTTATGTGAGCAAGTTTATTCTTCAGATATTCACATCTCTCTTTTTTCTCCAGGTACGTTGGATCCTAAAACCAGAAAGAGGGAAAGTAATATTTGCCGAGCACTCTCACACAGACAGGAAGTATGTAAATATGTCAATAGCTCCCCCCCTAATATTTCCAGTTTTTCAGTTTCAGCTGTTTGTGGAACTCAAACAGTTGAAACCGTCATTGTTTTGCAATGACTAAAGAATGTAGAAAGGCAACAGGCAGATGATGAAGGGTTTAAAATGGGTCGAAGAGACTTATAGAACATAGGTCATTATAATTAACCTTCATTGGGGGGAAAAAGGAAGATACCACCGATTTATTCTGTTTATCATTTTTAAATGGATAGAAGAAGTAGAACATATAAAAAGGTAAATAATACTTACAGCCTTTTTTCTGTTATACTCTTGAATAATGCTTTTGATTCTTTCTTGTTCCTGTGGGAGGAAAACAAAGTTTAATAAATCAAGATTTTGGGATATATAGAATGTAAAACAATTGTCTGTGGGTACTGCGATCAGTCACCAGTTTTTCATAATTTCAAACCATATTTGTGCCTTCACTAATTCATTTTAATTGTCATGTGGTATGACAAATACATTTTTAAAAGTACAAATATTCCATTTATTTACTCAATTAATATGAGCTCATAAAAACTGTGTCTAAGAATTGTTTAAGTTTGCAAAAATTTGTGTAAAATAATTGTAAGAATTTGCAAAATGCTTTTTAAACGATTAGCTACCATTTGGCTGGATGGCTGTTGTGGTAGATTCCTCATCATGTTATCCATTTCATCAAACTTCTTCGTTAAGACCTGAACCTCAGTATGAATCTCTTTATACTCTGCATACTGGTCATTAAACACAGCCTTGTATCGCTCCCTCTCCTCGTCAGAGCGAATTGTGGGATATTTCCTGTAAGGAGAAAAAAAAAACAGAACATATCAGGTATAGTCGTATCAGATATAATCATTACAAAAGTGATGAATAATAAAAAAAAAAACCATGCACAAGGGAACTATAACCATTACTAAATATGTGTGCTGGTTTCCAAACAGTTTGCAGTTTATATATTGTATAAAATGTCTTGAATTCATTAATATCACTTAGGATAAGTATCCTTTGAAACTCACGCCACGTAATCTGCAATGACCACAGGTTTGGGGATGTGGCCAGCAGGGATATGACCCCTTAATATCTCTGGTTCCATCATAACTGGAGGGACTGGTGTGCCATCAAATGAATCTGGATTGGCCATTACTGGAGCAGTTCGGATGGGCACAGAGACGCTTGACCCAGCATCAATCTGAGATTAAAAATGGCAGATTACATCAACAGTTTTTAAAATATAAAAATTGTTCTTCTTTAAAATTCAACTGCTTACCATATTAAGTGGTAGTGCTGCTGATTTCATCTAAATACAAATAAAAACAGAAAAGCAAGCAAATTAAACTATATTAGTTTAGTTTGAGTTATTTATTTATTTTTATTTCAAAGAACAAATGATTTGAACTTTACATCTTGGCCCAGTCTTTCTCTGCGCATCCTTGCAGCTTCATGTCTCCACAGCTTTAGACACACGCCTGCTCCCACAAAATACAACAGCATGTTGAAAAAAAGGAAGATGATGGCAGCGTTCTGCCCAGCCTCCGTTCGGCAAAACCCTGCATTGGGCCCAGCGTTGAAGTGTGGATAATAGCAGAGACCTCCACGGACGGTGTCTCGCACATACACAATTGCACCTATCAAGTAGAGCAATCCTAATGACAAGTTTATCACACACTCCGTGATTGGCCACCAGCTTGAGTCGAGTAGAATGGTACGATAATACATGGTCATTCCTAACACTACTAGAATGACAGTCACTATCCAGGCCAATCCAGCCACCACGATGACAAAAGGAGTCAAGGGTCCTGAGTACGAAATCCCAGTTCCTCCATACATCCCACCCATTGTTGATCCTCCATACGCTCCCCCATACATCTGATGCATTGAATAGCCAAACATATTAAACCACTCATTATCCTTGTGCACGTATGCACAGACGCAAGCAAAAACAGCAGCCCCCAAAAGCAACTCCACGCATCCCAAAATGCGCAAAAGTCCGGCCCAGGACTTCATGTACGCGTAGCGCAGATTGTAGTCCTCCACCTTCTCACTGTAAGTCATAGCCGTCTGCAGAGAGCGTCCAGAAACCGATTCCAGTGGCTCTCCTAATAACATCGCCTGCTCCTTCCTTGAATTGTAGCTGCCTCCAGACCCTCCAAAAGGGTCTAGGTAAGAGCTGGGGGCTGTAGGTGATGGTGGAGGGGAGCACGGGACGCCTTCGGTGGTGGTGTTCACATCAGGCGGTGGTGGAGGAAAGGTCCATTTCTTGCTGCCTTGGTTGCCACTGGCTCTGAAGAAATTCTTCACAGAGTCAGGAATAAAGCGTCGGATGGGTTTGATGTCCATAGCATCATCCACCTGGTCTTCAACATCACTCGGGTAGAAATCTGGACCAACAGGAGCGTGTTCGGGAAGTGGAGGTGGTGGTAAACTGTCATAGCTTGATTCCGCCACTTCACCACCAAGAGGGTAAGGAACCTGCTGGCCCCACGGCAGTGAGCCGATGGGCACCTGATCATAGTGAGGCATATCTCTGACCCGATCAAAGCGGGAGGCTGACCCGTTTCCAGCTGACATATGGAAATCCTAGGGTGATCTTAACAGCTGACTGAACTGAGGATCAGAAAGTTGATTTATATATTACAATGCCTGGAGTCACTGACATCATCTTGTACAAATCTAAAAGCAAGGATTCACTGATATTAAATATCTGGCTGACACTAATGTCATATATTTTATAACCAATAAATATTCAAGTCAAAATTAATCAATTAATAAGAAAAAAACAACACATTGAACCTTGCGTTTCAAAACACTAAAACGATGTAGGCTTTACAAAGATATGATCTACAGCATGAAAAATGCACACATCGTTCATCCCTACAGATAAAAATAAAAAAAAACATAGCATTGGCTAGCTACTACAAAACCCTGAAAACAATGACTGTCTTACCTCGGTACAGTAGTTACATTGCCTCACGGGGTGAATTTAAAACCGTGTTTTTCCCCTCACAAAGCTCCCTGGAATAAAGAAAGCCATGTGTATTTTACACACAGGCGAGCAGGGCTCAAATATATAGAAATAAAAATGTAACAAAAATTACTTTATGGTGACGACAGAACAGCTACATGATTTTGCGAGGTTTAAAACCTGCCAGTCAACAGAACAGGAAACAAATGAAACAGAACGAACGAGGCTACACCTCGGCTCTAAAGTCATCCCAATAAGCTACAAAGGAGGAATACACTAATTTCGTACCGCGAATTAATATAATTGTCTACATTAAACATGAGACTACAAGCTACATATTTTTGTCTAAAACACATATTTAAGAAAAACATCGGTCTCATACCTGGTATCGATACTTTCACCTGTCTTCCGCCAGTGGTGCTACAGGTGAAGGGGATCGATCACGTGACTTGTCCAGCCCCAATGTGTGATGTCACATTAGAAACCAATTTTTCTAGTTTGACAAGAAAACAATCTATGTGCAGACACAAATGAAGAAAAGTAAAACCTATTGTGTTTTTTTTTTTTTTTTTTTGCAGGATGGCACAGTGTATGTAAAATGGTCACTAGGCTACTTATAAAAAATAATTCATAAAGAACAAAACAGTTTAAAATAGTTTATTTTAGAATGAACTTAAACACCTTGCTAAACATACTGTAGTTGATTAGGAAAACACAACAGCCCAACATATCGAAATTTCACATTGCTTGTGAACCTACTCACTGAATTTCATTCACGTGACTGCTTTATTCCAATAACCACTTAATCAGTGAAATTGGTTTGCACTTTGGAATATTTTTTAATATTTTTTTTTACTGATACAATCACTGAAAAGAAACCAAGCTGCAACATAAAAACCTTCAGCCATCTATTGCAACAGCACTTATAGCTAAAGCTTTATAGTCTAGATATACGGACTGAAGCAACAGAAATCTTTTTTGTCCATTCTTATGTTTTATTATTATTCCTACAATTGAAAATATGCCAGATGGACTTGATCCAAGAATGAATTTTTGCAGTTTTAGAAGTAGTTAGTTTGATTGTTGACAGAACATCAAGAGAGGAATAAAAGCAAAAAAATATATAGCAATGATAGAAATGGCAATTTAGAGGACTGATTAAAGTGAAAACAGACTCTACATCATGAGTGACTTTGTCCTGCTGTAAACAACACTTAACTAGATTAGTTTTAGAAAAGAATTACCCAATTTAATCTAATTATGTTAAGTATAAACTTATTATGTACTTATGAACCATATGATCATCTTGTGAGGAGAAACACCCATGCAATTTAGCATTATTTTTTGTGAGTAAGAGTTGATCCTACCAATACTAACATATGTAGAATGTTGCTGGTATTTGGGTGGCAGCTAAACAATTCTAGATCATTTCTCAAAGAATTTTATTAATCTTTAATCACTTATCAAGGCAGACCAAGACAAATAAAGTTACCCAATATAAAAATATTTATTTCTTCCATTCATTTTGGAATTGTGTTTAACTTATTTCAAATAGAGTAATCATTACCAGCCTCACACATTTTTAGTGCTTAGTGAATAGAAACATACTCTGTCTGGGGCCACAGTAACTATGAAATGTGATGTCTATCTACTCTGACATGAACTCAAAAGTGCTTGAGCTTTTCACATATAATGTCCCATGTCAATTGTTGTCTTTCATCCATTGTTCAATCCACTGAACAATTTGATCCAGATTCCTCTCCAGGTCCTCGGGAGTATTACTGGGGAGCTGGTGGACTATCTCCTCCTTGTAGGCTTCCATGGCTTCCTCAAAGATAGTCTGGAAGATCTCACACTGCACATTGTCCTGGAGCTTCTTTCCTATGTACCCTCTGAATATGAAAGATATGAAGCCAAATCACTGCAACAGGAAGCATACAGACACACAACTATATTTCTCAACTATACATTTGGCTCTTAATCACAAAGACTGAATATGCTATATGGGTGATTCATCAATCAGGGGAAGTTTTCTGCCCGTTAGGATGATTCAAAATGTCTTTACTCATTTATAGTGTTAAAATGTAAAAAAATGTTTCCTTGCATTACAGAATTTCCCTGTTTTGCTTAACCCTATCCCAAACTATTTTCAAGATTTCAAGTAGTCAAAAGTGCCACAAATCAAAGTATTACATGCTATAAATGTAATTATAATCCACTGTACTAAACACAAACCTGCTTTCAAGACGATTGTAGAGATTGGTGTTGTCTGTGCGGAGGACAAAAACAATGTGAAACCAGCGTTCAGGAAAGAAATCACAGCCATGGTAATCAATTATTACGCCTCCGTCTCCCATTTTGTCCTCCAGTTCATCCACAACCTAGAATATGAAAATGATCTTTACATTTATTATTTGTAATAATAACAGCTGAATACCTTACATTTATTTAATAGAAAGTAAAATGCATTTTGTTCAAGATTGAATTAAACAATTTCTGTGAATATAAATCCGAATAAAGGGGAACTACTAAACTAAAACATTCCAATTAGATCCATTATTACAGTAGTACATACCCTGTCCTCATCCAATATAGGGCACTGGTATTCTTCATCAAATCCATCGAACAGCTGACCTGAATAGATAATACAAAAGTAGAAAACTAGCAAAAAGTTGCAAAGTAAAAATAAATCCACATTTTTTAAAATATGAACAACAAAATTTGACTGCAATGAACAGCAACTTACTATCCTGTGCCAAATCCCCAACATTGACATAGGTTAGTCCTGTTCTCTGAGCCAACTCTTTGCCTAGAGTGGTCTTTCCTACTCCAGGAGTTCCTTTCATTTCATGAGGAAGCATAGCAATGTTTACATTTTAATAATACGCTATATTTTATACCCACTAAATAAACTACGTTTAAATGACATGGGAACACTCTTAATACATCATCAGCATGTCGTTTATTTTAAAACACACAACTTGCAATCGCATATTCGTTTATTTATAACATACGTCTATACTTTTGTATAATTACCAAGAGAAATGTTACGGCAGACTACCTGTGAGAAGAATGTTTGGTCTCTTCATGATTCTCATTGCAAGGTACCACACGTGGGAAAATTTTAATAAATACCACAGATCGTTTGACACAAAATATCAACTGGATATTCAGTATCAATAAGAAAACAAAAACAAGTGATATTCAGTTAATGCGTTGGTCATATCTTCGTTCTGGCTTACATAGATCAACATAAAAACGTGTTCACATTTTTTGGAGCGTAGTTGATGACGCAATCATAGTGCGCCAGCGGAGGGGCGGTTCACCACAGCTTTAAAGGGATAGTTAGCGCGATGTTACTTGTTACTTGCAAAAGCGAATAGTCGGCATTGTTATACTACAAAAATCATCTGTAGAAATGACCAGGGTGAGTTTGAAATTTACCGCCTAAACAGTGTGTTAGCTACGATTCTGATGTTTGGCTAGATAACTTGACAATGAGATTGCTAGCATTTGTAATATCAAGCTAACGGTCAGAAGGGAACCTTCTGAACTTGACTAACTTAGTAAGTTTAGTCAGAATGCCCGACAAAGCTTATTTAAAAAAAAAAATAATAATAATAAGAGATTAGAATTAAGCAATTTGTCTATTTAAATAGTGTTTCCTGCTCCCCTTGAGTTTACATTCACCACGCTCGTATTCTGATTTAAGCCTAACGTTACAGAGGTAAATCAAACCATCATGCGTTTTTATATATGATGTGAATTATTTTTGTTTTCAATTTCATCCCAGCGCAATTTTGCATGGAGTAACTAAATAGGACGTCAGAGTTGATGATGTCAAAGCTGTCTCTGGCAGGAAAGCAGTCCTCTGGAAAAGTATGTAACCTCAATGAAAGTTATTGATTCTTAATATCCCCCAAAACTGAACGTTTTACGTTCTTCAGATTGTAATCTGCACACTGAGAAGGGATGTAGATGCTCTAAATCTATTGATACTGGTGTATGTTACATGTGTTCTGTTCTTATTTCCTGTTAAGATAAACAACTGGGTTGAACCGTCATTTGGTGAACTGTTGGGAGGAGTGAATAGGACACTGAAAAGGGGGCCTCTCTCAGGGGAAAGCAAAACTACCAAATGGCCATCAACTGGTGACCAAACAGAGAAACAATCGAGGAAGAGGAAAGTAGATCCTCATGTGTCCAACAACCAGATCAGTGTGTCAAGTGAAGCATATAAACTAGACCAGGATGAGCCCTGGGTGGATCTACATGCACCCCAATCACAGGTACAGAAATTGTGCATCTCAGGGGTGCTCAGTACCGATTTTGGAAATCTACCTTAATGCAGTTTTGTTCCATCCCCTAACTAACACATCTAGCTGTGTGTTTGAAGTAAAACTAAACTTAATATAACTAAAGTTTAACTCTAGTCTAGGTCACACAAACTATTTCACTCTGAGAATACATGTTTATCTGCTACTTAACAATTTCATATTGTTTTTGTTTTCCCAATTTACAAGCAGTATTGCTTAAAATGCCTCTTTCTCTTTGACAGGCTGAATTGGCAGTCCACAAAAAGAAAGTCGAAGAAGTTGAAAGCTGGTTGAGAGTTCATTTGGACAAATCAAAAAAGGTCTGAAAAATATGACATGCATGTTGTGTGATGTATGTTTTAATCAGTTGGATATATTTCATATTATATTTCCTTTTTATATTTAATTTCACAGTTTGAATTTGTTGTTATATCTCCACAGGGTGGCGCCATTCTGTTGCTCACTGGGCCCTCAGGATGTGGGAAGACAGCTACTGTTCAAGTTCTTGCCAAGGATTTGGGTTTTCATATTCAAGAATGGTCAAATCCCTCAACCACCTCTCAGTACAAAATGGAAGATTTGTTCACACAAAGCTTTGATCCAGGTCAGGAGTCTTTTCTTCTTACTAGTGTACTAATGTAGCGAAATCATGCATCATTTCTAGTGAACGGGAATTATTTAGCAACCCTATTTTTAACGTATAGCGGAATCCTTTATAAATAGTTGTATCTCAGTCTCTGTTTTTGCTAGCTTGTTCATATGACCTTTTTATTTCAACAGATTCAAGGTTTAACAGTTTCCATGGCAGCTCACAAACAGGGTTATTCCAAGAGTTCCTGCTAAGAGCCAACAAATACAACCGTCTACAAATGAGCGGAGAGAAACGCACTGAAGACAGGAAAATAATTCTTATAGAGGTGCTGCACAGAACTGCTCTTCAAACATATTACTATGATGTTGAATATTTGGCTTTGTTTGTGCACATAAAATGCAAGCATAAAGTTAAAATACATTTTAGAAAAAAGAAAGCACTTAGCAAGTGCTTTTTACTTTCACAAGACTGATTAAATGAGCAAAAAATCTAAGCTGAATGACAATTTTTCATTGGTTCTTTTCTTTTTTTCAGGAGTTCCCGAACCAGTTCTATAGACAACCAGTGTGCTTGCATGGTATACTCAGGTGGGCACAAGTTCTATATTGAGGTATTTTAATGGCAAGATGTCACTGGTGTCTTTCATGCAATTTTCCTTGCTCTTTCAGGCAATTTATTAAGACTAGCCGGTGTCCATTGGTCCTGATTGTGTCCGATAGCCTCAGCGGGGACAAGAACTCCAGGCATCTCTTCAAGGATGTTCTGCATGAACTCGAAATTCACAATATTTGGTACAAATAAAAAAAAAATCATAAAATATTTACTTAAAAGTATTCAAACCCAAGTTCATCAGGTTAAATATTATTTACTCTGAACCTTCAATAAGACTTGAAATATGAAATATGTAAATGTATCCTGTCCTGGGTCCTGTTTAGCTAATTATTTCTCTTTTTCAGTTTTAACCCTGTGGCTCCCACCAGTATGATGAAGGTCTTAAGCCGTATTGTGACCATTGAAGTGGGAAAGGTAGGTTGTGTGTGTATATATATGTGTATATATATATGAAGAGTTCAGATGCAAAAGCCTCTAAGTGCCATTTGAAATTTTCTTCTAGAATGATAATTTTTATCAAGCTTGTATATTTAAGTTCAGTGATTTCACTTAAATGGCAATGATAATTACCTATTAATAGTTATTTAAGTGAAATTACTGAACTTAAATATACAAGTTTGATAAAAATCATCATTAAAGAAGAAAATTTCAAATGGCATTTAGAGGCTTTTGCATCTGAACTCTTCATATATTTGTGTATGTGTATATTTATGACTCTGAAATCCCCCGTTGTTGTGTCAAACCTTTCTTATCTAAACGGTCTTTGCAGAGTTCAGGCAGGATCTCTGTTCCTGATAAAGCTGCTCTAGATCTTCTCTGCTCAGGAAGCTCAGGAGATATTCGCAGTGCCATCAACAGTTTGCAGTTTTCTTCATTTACTGGTAAGTAAAGCTTTACTGACCAACAGCTTTATAATATATTATTATGGTATAGTTATGGTTAAATTATGCAATCATTCATTCAATTTTCAGACAATTGTCTAGAGAGGAGACTCTGGGCTTCTAAGAAAGGCAAGTCCTCTTCAGCAAAACCTGCTGTAAGGGCAAAGGGGAGGAGCAAGTCTTCAAAATCAACAAACATGCAGGTTGAAAGCCCAGCTATCGGAGGGAAAGATGCTTCACTCTTCCTTTTCAGAGCTTTAGGGAAAATCCTCTACTGCAAACGTTAGTCCATTTCACTACTATTTTTGAAACTTTCTTGCTGAAATGTTATTCTATATGATGAAGTTCATGTAAATTAATTTGTATTTATACAAACGGATGGCATATGATTTTTAGGTGAAAGCTATGACGGCTCTCAAGCACCCAAACTGCCTCCACATTTAACAGATCATCAGAGGGACAAATTGCTTGTTGATCCGGAAGTAAATATTAATATATAATACATGTCACAATTTATGTCTTTTTAATTTTTTTAATGTTCTAACAATCTTCTGATAATAATATTTTCCCCAGCTTGTCATTGAGCGTTCTCATATGTCAGGGGAGTTCTTCAACCTTTACCTGCATCAGAACTACCCTGACTTCTTTTCGGATGTGGAGGATATAGCACGGGCCAGCGAGTACCTTTCTGATGCTGACTTCCTGACAGCAGAGTGGAGTGTGAGTGCAAATGCTGTCAGACTTTCATAACAAAACACACACATAGGGATATGTCGAGTTACTCTTATTGTACTGCACATTTGAACCCAGAGGAGTATCATCATGTAGTATCTCTGCAACAACTGTTTTGTTTTTCTGGTGTTCCTCTTTTCACAGTCAAGGTCGACTATGTTGGAATACGGCACATCAGTGGCAACTAGAGGCCTTATGCACTCAAACTCTTCTCGAGCAAAAGCCAACAGCCAGTCCACTGCCGGTTTCAGGCCTCTTCATAAACCGCATTGGTTTCACATAAATAAGATGGTATGTTTATCTTTTTACTTTGGTGCATTTACATTATTTTGCATTTTAAAAATTGTTGAATGTAGTAAATGTTTCTATATTTTAACTTTTAATTTTGTGATAGTATCGAGAGAATTACCTGACCGCGCAGTCGCTCTTCTTAAATTTCTGCCTTACCCCTGTGAGCCTCCTGACAGAACTGGTGCCTTACCTTGCAAAGCTCACCAACCCAATGAGAAATCAAGGTGAACATGTGACCTTTGCATTTGCAAAATATAGAATGAAATGTTCAAATTGAATCAGACTGCATAGCATAATCTTTAAAGTTAAATATGTTTATTATTTTCCTTTTTTTTCCCTTGTTTATTTACATTTTTAAGTTATTTAATATATTTTTTATCTTTATCATATCAGCTCAAATAGCCTTTATCCAGAATGTTGGGCATCTTTCACAAAAGAGGGTTCCTGGAAGGTAAGGTTAACTAAACTTTGAAGTGTTGTTGCATTTGAAATGTCTAAAATATTATTGAAATGGTTTAATAAATGGCTTTATTTGCAGGTTGAGACTTGAAGCACTTGGTGACAAAGACTCAGGCATTTTAGATACCGACAGCGAAAATGATGAATCTTCTGCTGCTCAGCACCTTGAACCAGGTACTACACCAGGGAATGCCACAACTGAGTCCAACTTGTCAAATAGCCAGGATCCTCCTGGAGAACTTTCTGCCAGCCAGCCCCAGCCTGCAAACTCTGAAGCCCTTTTGGATGAGGAAGAGCTCTTAATTGAAGACTATGACAGTGATTGACTGATCACAAGTTATGGACTTATTAAATATCACTTGCTGGCCTGATGCAATTGTTGAAGATTTAGATTGTTTTTGTTTTTAAGATGGTAATTATTTGTAGATATTTATGTGCTTCAACGCAGTATGTTGATGTTGAGAATTGTTCATATGTTCTTGTTGAAATGTACATGTTTTGTACATTGTTTCAGCAGGTTTTTTGAAAGTATCTCTAAAACAGACAATTTACAGCCATAATTTAAGTTTAATGTTGTCATGGTCTAACAGTGCTCTGGGGCTGAGAAGTAGATACTCTATTCTTCAGTAAAAGAGGTGACTATAATAAATCAATGTTTGCAACTTTGATAGCTGTGTTTGTTATTGATTTATTGGGAAAATCTCTGAATCCATATTTGTTACTGCAAAGCTGGGGTCTGTGAAGATGGAGGGAGTCCACGGTTATATATTTGTTATTATGTTTTAAAATGACATTACAAATGTTTCAAATATTTTTTGTAATTATCTTCATAGCTTTGTTTTCAATTGTATTATTTTATCATAGTTAAAAGAAACATCCTCATCTCTGCAGCTGCTCCTATGTCTTAATTTTATTTCATGTTTTGGGGGGTGGAGAATCGTCCAAAATTCACACGCATAAGAGGAAAGTCAGGATGATACTTGTAGGCTTGTGTTATGAGCGATTTTCTGAAAGCTGTTAATGTCTTAGCCAGGGGACTGTAAAGCTTGAAACTCCCTGCTATAGAGCGACATTTCTTTATCTATTGTACCTACTTTTGTAATACCTGCAGAGCCGGCGCGAGCCTTTTGGGGGCCCTAAGCAGAATTTGATTTGGGGGCCCCTCCCATGACGCGAAGTCACCTGTGTTTGACGATTAATGACACAAATGTCACGCAATAATGATACATTATAAATGAATACACTTAGGTTATGTATTAGGCTACAACAAAATTAATACTTAATAAAAAGAAAATAGATGCCTACTTAAATAAAAAAAAGTTTTAACAGTCTTAAAACTGTCTCAAAACATATAAAAGAAATTATTTGCTAAAATTATGACAAAACTGAGAAACATAACAACAAGCCTATTGTTGAAAACTAAAAAACATTTGGCCTACTATTTCTCAAATGTCTCAATACAGTGTAACTGTCCTCAAAACCTTTATTATTATTATTATTATTATTATTATTATTATCGTAAGAGACTTTGTTAGATATTACATGACATAATTCAACAAAGTCTGTTACTATAATAGGGTCTAGAGCCTCCATTTTTGCACTCGTGGCCCTCTATCATAATCCAGAGTTTTGAGAAGATTGGAGAAACTTAATTTTTCGCCCGAAAATGAAAAAAAACGAAAGGGGTAACACTGTCGTTTTTTTTTCGGGTCGAAATTTTGAATTTCGATATCTCAGCTCTGGAAGGGTCTAGAGCCTCCATTTTTGCACTCAGGTCAAAGTCTCGTGGCCCTCTATCATAATCCAGAGTTTTGAGAAGATTGGAGAAACTTAATTTTTCGCCCGAAAAACAAAAAAAAACGAAAGGGGTAACACTGTCGTTTTTTTTTTCGGGTCGAAATTTTGAGTTTCGATATCTCAGCTCTGGAAGGGTCTAGAGCCTCCATTTTTGCACTCAGGTCAAAGTCTCATGGCCCTCTATCAGAATCCAGAGTTTTGAGAAGATTGGAGAAACTTAATTTTTCGCCAAAAATGAAAAAAAACGAAAGGGGTAACACTGTCGTTTTTTTTTCGGGTCGAAATTTTGAATTTCGATATCTCAGCTCTGGAAGGGTCTAGAGCCTCCATTTTTGCACTCAGGTCAAAGTCTCGTGGCCCTCTATCATAATCCAGAGTTTTGAGAAGATTGGAGAAACTTAATTTTTCGCCCAAAAATGAAAAAAAACGAAAGGGGTAACACTGTCGTTTTTTTTTCGGGTCGAAATTTTGAATTTCGATATCTCAGCTCTGGAAGGGTCTAGAGCCTCCATTTTTGCACTCAGGTCAAAGTCTCGTGGCCCTCTATCATAATCCAGAGTTTTGAGAAGATTGGAGAAACTTAATTTTTCGCCCGAAAAAAAAAAAAAACGAAAGGGGTAACACTGTCGTTTTTTTTTTCGGGTCGAAATTTTGAGTTTCGATATCTCAGCTCTGGAAGGGTCTAGAGCCTCCATTTTTGCACTCAGGTCAAAGTCTCGTGGCCCTCTATCATAATCCAGAGTTTTGAGAAGATTGGAGAAACTTAATTTTTCGCCCGAAAAAAAATGAAAAAAAACGAAAGGGGTAACACTGTCGTTTTTTTTTCGGGTCGAAATTTTGAATTTCGATATCTCAGCTCTGGAAGGGTCTAGAGCCTCCATTTTTGCACTCAGGTCAAAGTCTCGTGGCCCTCTATCATAATCCAGAGTTTTGAGAAGATTGGAGAAACTTAATTTTTCGCCCAAAAATGAAAAAAAACGAAAGGGGTAACACTGTCGTTTTTTTTTCGGGTCGAAATTTTGAATTTCGATATCTCAGCTCTGGAAGGGTCTAGAGCCTCCATTTTTGCACTCAGGTCAAAGTCTCGTGGCCCTCTATCATAATCCAGAGTTTTGAGAAGATTGGAGAAACTTAATTTTTCGCCCGAAAATGAAAAAAAACGAAAGGGGTAACACTGTCGTTTTTTTTTCGGGTCGAAATTTTGAATTTCGATATCTCAGCTCTGGAAGGGTCTAGAGCCTCCATTTTTGCACTCAGGTCAAAGTCTCATGGCCCTCTATCATAATCCAGAGTTTTGAGAAGATTGGAGAAACTTAATTTTTCGCCCAAAAATGAAAAAAAAACGAAAGGGGTAACACTGTCGTTTTTTTTTCGGGTCGAAATTTTGAATTTCGATATCTCAGCTCTGGAAGGGTCTAGAGCCTCCATTTTTGCACTCAGGTCAAAGTCTCGTGGCCCTCTATCATAATCCAGAGTTTTGAGAAGATTGGAGAAACTTAATTTTTCGCCCAAAAATGAAAAAAAACGAAAGGGGTAACACTGTCGTTTTTTTTTCGGGTCGAAATTTTGAATTTCGATATCTCAGCTCTGGAAGGGTCTAGAGCCTCCATTTTTGCACTCAGGTCAAAGTCTCGTGGCCCTCTATCATAATCCAGAGTTTTGAGAAGATTGGAGAAACTTAATTTTTCGCCCGAAAATGAAAAAAAACGAAAGGGGTAACACTGTCGTTTTTTTTTCGGGTCGAAATTTTGAATTTCGATATCTCAGCTCTGGAAGGGTCTAGAGCCTCCATTTTTGCACTCAGGTCAAAGTCTCGTGGCCCTCTATCATAATCCAGAGTTTTGAGAAGATTGGAGAAACTTAATTTTTCGCCCAAAAATGAAAAAAAACGAAAGGGGTAACACTGTCGTTTTTTTTTCGGGTCGAAATTTTGAATTTCGATATCTCAGCTCTGGAAGGGTCTAGAGCCTCCATTTTTGCACTCAGGTCAAAGTCTCATGGCCCTCTATCATAATCCAGAGTTTTGAGAAGATTGGAGAAACTTAATTTTTCGCCCAAAAATGAAAAAAAACGAAAGGGGTAACACTGTCGTTTTTTTTTCGGGTCGAAATTTTGAATTTCGATATCTCAGCTCTGGAAGGGTCTAGAGCCTCCATTTTTGCACTCAGGTCAAAGTCTCGTGGCCCTCTATCATAATCCAGAGTTTTGAGAAGATTGGAGAAACTTAATTTTTCGCCCAAAAATGAAAAAAAACGAAAGGGGTAACACTGTCGTTTTTTTTTCGGGTCGAAATTTTGAATTTCGATATCTCAGCTCTGGAAGGGTCTAGAGCCTCCATTTTTGCACTCAGGTCAAAGTCTCGTGGCCCTCTATCATAATCCAGAGTTTTGAGAAGATTGGAGAAACTTAATTTTTCGCCCAAAAATGAAAAAAAACGAAAGGGGTAACACTGTCGTTTTTTTTTCGGGTCGAAATTTTGAATTTCGATATCTCAGCTCTGGAAGGGTCTAGAGCCTCCATTTTTGCACTCAGGTCAAAGTCTCGTGGCCCTCTATCATAATCCAGAGTTTTGAGAAGATTGGAGAAACTTAATTTTTCGCCCGAAAATGAAAAAAACGAAAGGGGTAACACTGTCGTTTTTTTTTCGGGTCGAAATTTTGAATTTCGATATCTCAGCTCTGGAAGGGTCTAGAGCCTCCATTTTTGCACTCAGGTCAAAGTCTCGTGGCCCTCTATCATAATCCAGAGTTTTGAGAAGATTGGAGAAACTTAATTTTTCGCCCAAAAATGAAAAAAAACGAAAGGGGTAACACTGTCGTTTTTTTTTTCGGGTCGAAATTTTGAATTTCGATATCTCAGCTCTGGAAGGGTCTAGAGCCTCCATTTTTGCACTCAGGTCAAAGTCTCGTGGCCCTCTATCATAATCCAGAGTTTTGAGAAGATTGGAGAAACTTAATTTTTCGCCCAAAAATGAAAAAAAACGAAAGGGGTAACACTGTCGTTTTTTTTTCGGGTCGAAATTTTGAATTTCGATATCTCAGCTCTGGAAGGGTCTAGAGCCTCCATTTTTGCACTCAGGTCAAAGTCTCGTGGCCCTCTATCATAATCCAGAGTTTTGAGAAGATTGGAGAAACTTAATTTTTCGCCCAAAAATGAAAAAAAACGAAAGGGGTAACACTGTCGTTTTTTTTTCGGGTCGAAATTTTGAATTTCGATATCTCAGCTCTGGAAGGGTCTAGAGCCTCCATTTTTGCACTCAGGTCAAAGTCTCGTGGCCCTCTATCATAATCCAGAGTTTTGAGAAGATTGGAGAAACTTAATTTTTCGCCCAAAAATGAAAAAAAACGAAAGGGGTAACACTGTCGTTTTTTTTTCGGGTCGAAATTTTGAATTTCGATATCTCAGCTCTGGAAGGGTCTAGAGCCTCCATTTTTGCACTCAGGTCAAAGTCTCGTGGCCCTCTATCATAATCCAGAGTTTTGAGAAGATTGGAGAAACTTAATTTTTCGCCCAAAAATGAAAAAAAACGAAAGGGGTAACACTGTCGTTTTTTTTTCGGGTCGAAATTTTGAATTTCGATATCTCAGCTCTGGAAGGGTCTAGAGCCTCCATTTTTGCACTCAGGTCAAAGTCTCGTGGCCCTCTATCATAATCCAGAGTTTTGAGAAGATTGGAGAAACTTAATTTTTCGCCCAAAAATGAAAAAAAACGAAAGGGGTAACACTGTCGTTTTTTTTTCGGGTCGAAATTTTGAATTTCGATATCTCAGCTCTGGAAGGGTCTAGAGCCTCCATTTTTGCACTCAGGTCAAAGTCTCGTGGCCCTCTATCATAATCCAGAGTTTTGAGAAGATTGGAGAAACTTAATTTTT